TAAGCGTCTGTGGATTCATCAAATAATACTTTGCAAAAAACAAACGGGCTAGCCGCAAACGTCCGTGCCGTATAGCGTGAATAACCCTGTATATAGCTTTACGTGGCCAACACAGAATGTTTATTAGTACCATCTCCCATAGTGTTGGAAGTATCCCATTATTTTCCAGAGTTGTAAAACATCTTGTTTTATTTGCAGATTTCTTTGTTGAGCTGGATAGGCAGTACAAGCCGTTGACAATGCATAGTACGCTAAAAGAGCTAGTCCGTTACGTGCAAGAGGGAATAAGGAGACTAAAAGGAAAACCGTCGACTAGTAAATAGAAAATGCGACACGATGCCGAATGCGCGCTGGCATCAAAGTGTCACGACCTTGTCATAAATCATGAGTTTTCTGACATTACAAAAGTCATCTTTTATTGAACTCCCATTGGTGAGGAGCACAAATCTATTGAACGTTAGATATACGATAGATGTATAGATTTTATAGCGTAAAAATACGTTATATGACGCTCAATAGATTTTTGAATCGCAACATTTTGGGAAAGGTTTACATTGATGGCAGCAAACTCGGACCAATTGGGGTTCAAGAGGCTGCTAAATTTTAGCATTAAATTTTATTGTTGGTTTCTCTTTTAAAGATCATTAAAGGGTAGGTTCAAAAAACGGGGCATTAACCGCAGAAATTGAATTAACTCAGAGTATGTCCATACTTAAGTAAGAGATCCAATTAATCTACAATGTGTTGTAAGAGAATGGAAAAAATGAAAATACTTATCACTCAATACCCTCACGTACAACAATATTTCATCATCGAGTACACTTGATTCTAAAACTTTCTTTGTGCGGTTATTTCATGGGTGTTCCGTATTTTCTGGTCAACTACCACCATAAAACGTTGTAAGAGAGTAACCAGGGGTGTGCGGTCTATGGAAGAAACGGAAGCCCCTCGAAAGGTGTTTTGATATCAGGATAGTTAGCAATACTTCTGCTGATAGCAACTGCAGAAGTATCGCGATCGATCCTGATATCAGAACACCTTGGTAGCCACTCTAGTGCCTTAATACGAACTTCTCCAAAATTTTGGTTTACTTCCCAAAGTTTTAAAAAAGTCTTCTCTGTCCTCTCCAAATCTTATTGTTTCACTATACGAAAAACAATCGATTAATGAATTCAACCTCCGAATTAAAAAAAAATAGAGAAAATACTGTAAGCATTATTGAAACTGCAAATCATGTAATTAATTTAAACGAAAAGTTAAGGTAATAACCCAAATGAAATACGCAATATTTTTATCTGTGAGTGTGTCTAGTGTTCGGTTAGCTCATTTTTAAGCTGCCCTGTTTATGACCATATTAAAAGAGAAATTGATATTACTCAGTCAATTACCATTAAGAAAATTGTTCGTCGAATGGATCGTGAATAGCTAATTAAAAATTGTAAAAAAGGATTTGATATGAAGTTCAAAAAATTGGATCATCCAAATGAAATTGAAAATCAAAAAAATGTCCCATGTGTGCAATGAGTGAACCTCTACTTTGGTGACGAATTGCTCTGGTTCAGTGGGATTCTTTCGATTTACGAACAATTTTACTTAGGGAATGACATCAATACTTAAATCTTAGGATAAATTTGACCAGTTTTAAATAATATATTTGTACATAATTAGTGACTATGTAAATTTGTCGTTTAAAGCAATTTTTATTAAGATTTATTCGGGTATTTAGTGGGGCTGGGGATGATTTAATCTCAAATCCTTTTGTTCAAATGGAATGGTGAATGTTTTCCACCAGTGGGCATTTACTAATTTGTACGGAATTAGGAAATATCATTTCTAACCTACTTCATTCGCAAATGGAGCATTCCGTTTATATTTTATTTGAACACCCTGTATCAACTCAATTAATGTTGAGCGCGCTAAGTTCAGCATTGATATCAATTTACATATATAGTGAAATTTATTTTGCTCAAAACTTTTGTTCAATTGGAATTGTGTTGCGGTTGAAAGAAATGCAATATGATGTACATATTTTTTACTTGCTAAAATAAAAAACGTCACTTGAACAAAAGTTGGCAAA